TCGTCCTTTTCTTGTAAATGGGTTTTTAGTCAATTCCAGGAGGCTGCCTTTTACGGTTCATGGGAGTTATTTCTCTTCCTCCAAGTTTCGATTAATTTGAGCGTTTCCTCTACTGTCAGGGCTACGGCACAGCGTACGTGCTCCACCCCTAAGGCCCCCATTCACTGGAAAAACGTTTGGTGATGCAACCTGTTTGTGATAGCCCTATCCTTTTGCATGGGGTAGGTTGCATCAGGAAACGTTACCTGGCTTGGTCACATGATGAAACGTTCCAACGTTCCCTCGGTAACATTAGTTTTTCCAGTGATTGTCCTTACGGTAGGAAAACCCGCAGACTGATGTGTCTTATCCCTGACACACTGTGTACAACTTTATAGCAAACAAACAGACAGACACAAAAAGGAGAATCTTTGAGTCAGTAGCGTCACTTCGCTGTCGTTCAGCTCACATATAGGGATTGCGTCTTCACGAAAACGATGACAAATACAACAAAAGTAAGACTTATCAAAAATGTCAGTTTGTCCCTCGCGGTTTTGCCCTATACTCTAAACTGGGACAAACGGTCGCCGTATTCAGAATGAAGGCGCAGTAGTCGGCGTCTGTCAGTGGGGCGTATAGCTCTGCAGTCTGCAGTGCCCACAGGCAACCGACAACAAGAAAAACAAACGCAGTGCGCCGTGTCCCCACCCCAATGATTTGTAAACACAAAACATTGCGGTGGCGTCGCCCAGAAAACGCTCCCGATATATCGGATGTTGGCGGGCGCGGGGAGAGAGAGGGAGAGGGGGGGGGGCGCTCGCAACCGGCATGGTGAGTCATCGCGGTGACGTCAGGCTGGAGCCGTGGTGGTGGTGGTGGGGGGGCGTCGCCGCCTTGCCTAGCGTGGCGCAGCGGGCGCCGCGGCATGGCGGTCGGCAACCTTCGGCTTACGGCAGCAGTGGTGGCCCCGCGGCACCGGCGTTCCCGGTGTGCAACGGGGATACTGCACCCTCAGCACCACCCCCCACACACCGCGCTAAAAGCCCTCTAAGGTCTCCCTGCCCTGCCCCTCCTTGAGGCTTCAGGAGCCCTTTGCCCTTTCCTGTCGCCCCCTCCTTCCGCCTGACCTACATGTTCTGTCGATAAGCCCCTCTGCTTCCTCGTGTACGCCGTGCCCGACTCTGCTTGCCGTCGGCTTGCTTGCCGAGAGCACTGCTATTGATGCCCTGCACTGCTGCACCCGTGGCCGTGGACGATTAGGAAGTCGTTTAGAGACGTCTGCGAGGAGAGGCGGGGGTGGGACTGGGCGGCTCTCTGACCTCACTGCCTGTAACCGACACCACAGGCCGGGCCCGTGGATGGGCCGCGAACCCTGGAACTGACACCGCGCGTCTCACGTCCAGATAGCGAAACAGGTCACCGGGGACGGACTGCGGGCGATCCTGGACGCCACCATGTGCACCGTCCTGTCTGTCCGGTCCTGTCACGGCAGTGACACTCCCGTCCTCACCTCTCTCCTGCTGGTCGAGGCCAGGTCTGCGCTTCGGGTCGGGCCCTACAGCGATCGGCAGCGTAGCGTGGCGGTGGCGGGGCGGGGTGGCCCTGTGGCGGGGCGGGGCGGGGTGGCCCTCTGGCGGGGCTCCGCTCTCGGCTCCCGCGCAGTCAGTCAATGGGACGTGGCCGTGCCGCACCGCGCCGCCCCGCGCCGCACCGCGCAGCGTCGTCCTCGGCCGCGTGGACCCGCAGGCCCGCCCTTACGCCCCCGCGCCCCGCCCGGCCCAGCCCGGCCCCGCTCGGCCCCGCGCGGCAACGCCGCGCCGGTCGCTGACATGACGTGATGGTGTGCCAGAGCGAGGCCCCGGAGCACGGTGGCGTCGAGGACGTCGCCATGGCGGCGGCGGCCGAGCAAGGTGAGGATGACGCGTCGGGGTAGGAATGGAATACCCAGGACAATCGACACGCAATGTCCCACTCTCTTTCGTCCGCACCCAGCTCTGCAGCGTGCTTTAGTTGTGCCCATTATGGAGCTTGTCACCCGGGCTGCATCGCGTCGGTGCCAAAACGTTGACGTGCACGGCCACGCCGTCGAACAGTCGTGCCCGGCGCGCCTGGCCGGCCGTGACAGGCGCCCCAGGCGGCGCGCGCGCTCGGCGGGTCTGCGAGCGGCAGGCTGACAGGCGCTGGGGGCGCGGCGCAGGGGCGTTGAGAGCGTTGACGCGGAGCAAGCAGGCGTCCGCGAGCCGTCCGTGCTCGCTGATCAGAAAGGTCATGAGCCCGATTCTATATGTGGTTTTTACGGGTTGTCCTCTCGCTTCTGCCGCGAGAGTTTCGCAGAATTCCGGTTGGTCTTCAAGCCATAGGGGCGAGGGGTCATATGGATGAGGTCAAAGGGAATGTTGAAGATGAACCCCGCGGGTCGGGTAGAGCATCATAATAGTGTACCTGGTGGAGGGTGCGGGTGGAAGGCTGCGCTGGGAGCGCGGAGGTGAGGTGGGTGGTTGAGCCGGCGGCCGTGCGGCGCTAGGCTGGCTAGAGGCGCCCCTGCGCCCCTACCCTTACACCTGCTCCACTTCTCACCCCCTCCCCTCGCCCGGCTTCCCCCACCAAACTCTATGTTTGGCTGCTGAGTCATCGCCCGCCCGCCTGCCTCTCCCCGCCCCAACCCTCTCCGCGCCCGCCGCACCCCATCGGCCCCGCCCGCGGGCCCCTGCTAGTCCCCGCCCCGCTCTGCCCTGCCAGAGCACTGCCCCTTTCCCAGCGTATTTAGCCGGCCCTTGGAAAAGCTATCGAGCGGCTTTATGTAAACGACCTGGTTGCTGTCTGTCTGGTTGTTCGTCCCCTTGTACTGTAGCAGCAGGGATCATTGCTGAGCTTAACTTGAACTTGAAATTAAACTTTAACTTTAAATGCTCAGCTCTGTCAGGAAGCGCAAGGGGAGACCGCCCGGAAGACGGCGTGAAGTGAGGCGCCTGGCGTGAGACGTGGGATGTGAGGTGGACAGGCAGGCCAACCAAAATCGCGATAACATTTTAATTTTAGCGCGCCGCAGGCCAAGGTAGACGCACATTTAGCTCAGCTTCACACGGTTTTAACGTGCGTCTACCTTGTAATCATATCAGAACACAGTAACAATATAGTAACAAATAATAGTGAATCATCGTAACAAAATCCATGTTTAAGTGAAAGTTAATGTTATGGATTTCGAAATATGATCGATATTAATTGGTTTTACTAAAGGGAAAAGTTGGACGAGTCAAATTACTTATTTCCCAAAAACTTCAATACAAGATACAAGTTGTAACTAACTCTTAAAATAACGTTAAAGGCAGTTAAAATAAGTTACGGAGCCCTGCCTTGAAGAAGTTGAGGCTAGGGGTACCTTGGCACTCCTGTCTGTACCGAGTGTATAGGCCAATACTCCCCAGTGCGGCGGGTTTGCATACACAAGGGGCTATGGCGCCTTACGGACAGATCGGGTAGGCAAACCCGCAACACTGTGGTGTATTGCCTTTACAGCCGGTACACCAAAACACCTGGTGTGAAATGAGCTAGGAAATAAAAGTGATAGGCAAAACCGAATAACAACGTTTTCAGAAAGAAAGTTTTTTGTTCATGGGGACGGTTGAGAGTCGAGATTTGGCCGTAGGACGTAAATCACGTCCGTCGTTTGGGGAAGAAAAGAAGAACCAAACCGGAAACTGATTGTCGAAACCCGCAAACAAGGGCGGTTCGGCAAGACCTTTGCCTTTGTGCCTTTGTTCGGGTGTTACGACTCGGAAATCTCTTTCCGGTTTGGTTCTTCTTTTCTTCCCAATTGCCTTCACAGGGGCAAACTGTCCTATTTAACAATAATTAAATCAATTTTTAGGACTTTTTTGTAACGTGAGCTGCAGTTGCACTTCTTCATACCGTTTGGCTTTTCAAAGCAGTAGGATGGATTGCGGTCACTCTGTGGCACATCCTTTGATTATGATTACGAGGGGGAAATCACTTGGGTTCGTTGCGTACGGGCTATTTCGTGGTATTTCTCCTGCCCTTTCGGTTATCTCTCCTTCCATTTCGGCTATTTCTCGCCTATTTCGGATTATTTCAGGGTATTTCGCGGTATTTCGGAGTATTTCAGGGGTATTTCGCGACTTTTTCACCGACTATTTCGGGTCTATTTCGCTCTATTTCACCTTTATTTCGCCTTTATATCGGACTATTTCGGGGAAAGGTGTTTCGCAAGTGATTTCACCCTTGTTTGATTACTGTGCATAGTGACATATATTATGCAAATAACGTAAGGTCGCGCGGGAACGCCGCTGGCAGGAGAAGTAGGCTCGGAGTTAGTCCGAGCTGGCAACTCCGTTCGGCAGTGACCCGGTGCCTGCTGCCTGCTCGTTCGTCTTCTGTTGAACTAGGACTCTGTGTTTGATCTAAGCCCCGCCGAACTCTACGCCGGTCACGTGGATCGCAAATCGCCCATCACATCCATTACTGCACTAGGAATGCCCACACCTTGTGTGCTCGGATTATTCAAACAGCATTAGAAGCATGACGCGGGATATATTTTTCAGTGCATTTATATTTGATTTGATGTCGTATAGTGTAGTCATAACACTTGTCCTGGTGGAGTAACATTTTGGCGTTTAAAAATTTTCTAATATTAACCTTTATATAAGCCCAGTAGGGTATTCCACTGGAAGACAAGCGGACCCTGAAGACGAAAAGAATGACTACCCGATCTGTTTCCTCCTGCCCAACCTTGGGCCAAAAGTAGCTGCTTCGCGGTTAGTCAAATCAAGTTTATTGGCTGGCCGTCACATCGACGTCATCGATCGGATAATCAGCATCAGCGTTCAAAAGGAAACAGACCAAGCAGTCATGCTTTTCTTCTTCAGGTTCCGATCGTCTTGCCGCGGAATACTCCATTGGATGGCCTTGCAAAAACTTACAGTACATGGGATTATGGTGATAACATAATGTCTAAATGAAGTGTTCTGGGCTCTCATACGCACTGCTCTGTCTGTCTCTCACAGCTCGCGGTATCCCCAGCTCTACGGCCACATCGCCGCCGCCGCCATGCTCCGCCGCCGCCCCCTGGGGGCCGTGGCTAGGGATGGGGCCGGGGGCGGTGCGCGGTGCGCAGGCGTGCCCGCCCAGGGCCCCCGCTGCCCCCGCCGGGCCCCCGGCCCCGCCGGCAGCGGGCCCCCCGCTAAGCTCGCCGCCACGGCCGCCGCGCGAGCGACTGCGCCTGGCGCTGTCGAGGAGCCTGAGCGAGCCGGGCCCGGTGTCCGCCACCCTCGCCCGCATCTCCCCGACGACGCCTGACCCGCCCGCCTTCAAGCGCTGCAAGCTGGAGGCCGAGGGCGATGCTTCTCCAGCGGCCCCGGCCGCGGGGTGTGCGCTGGCCTCCAACGGCCTGCTGCGCCGCGTGCGCGCCCTGGACTCCGACGGGCTGGTGCGCGCGCTGGACCAGTGCGTCCTCCTGGACTGCCGCGCCTTCCTTGCCTACAACACTTCGCATATCCGCGGCGCGCTCAACGTCAACTGTGCCGACAGGCTGAACAGGCGGCGGCTGCTGCAGGGCCGCACCTCCATCGCGGACCTAGCCGCGGGCGGTTGTCCGGCTGCCCCCCAGGGTGGTGTTCTGTCCCCGGCGCGGCAGGTCGTCGTCTATGACGACAGCTCCGCGCTGCTGGATCGACTACCACCTCACCACCCTCTCGTGCTCGTGCTCACCGCTCTCGTCAAGGACGACAAAGATCCCGCCTTCTTAGTAGGTAAGTCCGCTCTAAGCTATCCGTGGAGATTCTGATTCGCGTAGCTTGTTAGATCAGTTGTAAATGGTGTGGCAGATGTAGTATTTCTTCATAGATTTTACATCGTGAACTTGTACAGACAGTGCGCAAACCAAAGTTGTTTTGTTATTACTGTTCTGGGTGAATCTAGGTGAGCCCGGATCTAGCCGGTCTGGCCGGTTCCAGTCGGAACTTGCGTCCGGTTCGCGGTTCTAAGGCGATTTGCATCCAAACTAGCGATGTGACAAAAGATAGGTGACATGCTACTCAAATTTAAGAAAACCTTTCCAAAAAACGTAATTGTAAAAGTACATGTGTATCGTTTTCAAAAACATTTTTCTCTTCGGCCCCCGCTTTGCCTCCATGCCCATTGGGGGAAATGTTTTGGTCAGTTCTCGGCTTGCGGGGAACGCTTGTCTGGCGCTCCCAGCCATTCGCGGGTCACACCGCGATGCGATGGCCAGCTCCAGGGGGTACTATTTCTTATTGCTGTTTACAGCTGCCCCTCGTCCACCTCTTGGGTTTGTTTTGGATCCAGCCTGCAATAAGTACACGAGGCAGGACTGGCCGTATCGTCACTCTTAAAAATAGTACAGCGCGGCTAGCGGGACGGGGGCGGGCGGGGGTCTGTGCAGGGCAGGAGGCGTGCCTGGGGCTGAGGCGTGCCTTCACGCCAAAAAATATTCAGGGCCGGTGATGAAGAGGCCGAGGCATGGAGGCCGAGGCCTTGTTTGTTTCCTTCGGCTCGCAAGGCCCCATCCAAAGAAAAATTTAAATCCATTTTCGAAAATTACTGTTTGAAATAGGGTGTTTCGGCTAACGGAGGAAGAAGAAGTTCACGGTTGGTCGAGAGATTCCCGTCCCTATGTCACGCCGATACTGTGGGTAAAGGCTCGACCAATCCGGAACCTTTATGTTCTACCCGCTCTTCTTCTTCCTCCGTTAGCCAAAGTACACTCATCCCAAACATCGTACGGGTAGCCCGTAGGGCCCGTAGGGCCCGTAGGGACAACTATAACATAATGACTGAGGCACTGTTCTGACAGTTTTAAGAACCGAAAATCTAGTTTTACACACTATGTGGTTGTTTGTCTCAACAATTATGTGATGTTGTCTGTGAGTTAACCCTCCCTACGATGATTGACCCACCTATTAATTTTTCTGGGTAGAGTTGTCCTACGAGTGAAAGATGAAAAGCTGTGGCAACAATCGTATTGTTACTTCAGGCCGCTTCAGGCTCTTCAGGCACAACCATAAAATATGGTTGGGGCAACAACAGCACCGGTGTATCAACCAAACAAGCGTTTTGAATTTTGGCCGGTGGTCTCAACTATACCTTATAGTGATTCCTAAAGAAACCAAACAATGATTCTTACAACTTTTCATTTTTCTGGGGGTGGTAGAACGGTAGAACGAAGTAGTTACATAGAACGGGTTGGAGGGAGAGCGAGGGAGCAGGTGCTGCTCTGTCCCCGGCAGCCAAGAGAGTCCCGTCCCGCTGACCTATAGACCAGCCACACCTTAACGATGCCCCCAGGATGTCCTGAGGATGACCCTTGCACGCCCTGACGCGCCCTCCAACCCCTGCACCACGTCCCACCACGTCCCGTGACGCCGCAACCCGATATTTTATGAAAAAGCCTGCTCTTGTCGGGTCACCTAGGGACAGCTGGCGAGGGCCTGTGCAAGACCAGCGACACACTCGAAACAAGAGCATGTACTGTCCTTTTTTGCCAGTGTGCCACTTTGGGTGGCCCACCGGCGTAGCCTGATAGCGAAGCTCGGCTCGGCCTCCTCTCGGCCCCGCACCCGCGCGCCCGCCGCGCCAGCTAGGCAGCCCACCCTACGCGAGGCGCCAGGGAGGTAGGCAGCCCAACGTTTCTCTTGC